CAATTTTAGAAGACTTCTCCATTTTGCTGTACATTTGCGGAGTCAGCGGAAAAGGTTCTGGCTATGAGTTTATGATTACTCCGGGTTGCTCTGAAATGATTTCTGAAAAACATTGGCCGTGTAGGGAGACCACAATGTCACCACAAGAAGGAGCACTGGGCTGGGCGCGGTGGCTCACGTTTGTAATCCCAGCACTTTGGGAGGCCAAGGCGGGAGGACCAACTGAGGTCAGGAATTTGAGACCAGCCTGGCCAACATGGTGAAACCCCTTCTCTACTAAAAATACAAAAATTAACCGGGCATGGTGGCACACGCCTCTAATCCCAGCTACTCCAGAGGCTAAGGCAGGGAAAATTGCTTGAAACTGGCAGGCAGAGGTTGCAGTGAGCTGAGATGGTGCCACTGCACTCCAGCCTGGGTGACAAAGCAAGACTTCATCTCAAAAAAAAAAAAAAAAAGGAACACTGGATTAAGAATGTAGGTGCCTGAGTTTTATTTCTGGCCATTTGGCCATATAGTTCACAAAATAAAAGCAGAAAATGATTTATGCTCACTATACACAAAATCCTTCCTCTGGCCCTCTTCCTCTTATCTAGCATCATGTTACTATTGCCAAACAAGTTCCCTAGTGGCCCCTCCAAATTTTGCTTTATCCCAGGATAGGACATGTTGAAAGAGGATGTTGGAGGTTTGGGAGTGAAGAACCTTTAGAGTTGGGATGGTTCTCTTCCAGGTTCTAGGGACCATCTCTTTTTGCCTTGCTGATTTCAGAACTTGTATCAGTGGCAGAGGGCTTTAGAACACAATTCCCTAGGACCCTCCCCAAAACCCATAAACCAGATTCGGGCTCCTGCCCCACATTCCCATAACACCTTATACTTCTTTAATGTTAACACACATCATGTTTTATTGAAATTATGTATTTACTGTCTGCTGTTAATTAAGGGGTATAAAGACAGTTACACTCAGTGAAGGCAGGGAATCCTTGTTTGTTTCCCCTCCTTCCTGCTGTATCCTCATTGTCTAGAATGATGGCTGGCACCCTGTAGTCACTCAATAAACTTATTAAATGAATGAAAAAAAGGACATTCTAGGCAGAGGGAACATAAGAAGCCAAGATACGTGGGTGAGAAATGGTGAGATGTGTATATGTACATGGGAAACTGTGTAGCTTAAGTATTGAGTGTGTGAGTGGAAAAGCGGAAAAACGACAGCATGAGACGGTACAGGGTTTCAAATGGCAAGTTAAGCAGCTTAGACTTTCTAAGTGGTAGGAAGCCAGTGAGGAGGACTGCTAAAGCAGTGAGGTAAATTGCCATTGTGTTTGATAGCATTTATTCATGGCATGGGCAGCTTCCTACGCCCCTCCTAACACACTTCCTGCCAAGAAGCAGATAATAATCTACAAAGTAGTTTATATGCTATACGCCCAGTAAACTCACTGAGTGTCTAATCTACAAATTTCCGTGGCTGAGATAGGGGTATCCAAAGGGAGCCAACGTAGCTGGAAAAGTAACTACAGTCAGAGACCTTTCCCATTCTAAACTGAGCATCTGGTACACGGCAGCAATTTTAAGTTTCTCTGACCTTGCCTGAGCGTCAGCAGGAAGTCATACATGAAAAACCCTTCACCCTATTTCCTCTGCCTGGGCCCAGGAGGTCTGCCTCACCCCCATACCTCCTCAGATAGTATCTCTTGTTCCCTGCCAATAAGACGTCCTTCCTAATACTGCCTTTCTGGTTTTCCAAGGTGTTCCTTTCTTGTACCTGTGCTTTACCTCTTCCAGGTGGAATTCCTTGGACAGCAGTGAAGGAGTCAGCAGTCAAGCCTCTTGGCAGACTAGACCAAAGGGTCACATTCTTTGACCCTTTCTGGAACTATTTTATACTTCCTTGGGGACTTGCAAGGAATGAGTGACAGAGTGAGATCAAGGGAGAAGTCTTCAGGGACTGAGTGTGGAAAACTTGCCCCAAATCCTGGAAGAATATGACCTTTGTTTCTTTTTGTTTCCTTTCTATTTCCATTTTCTTCTCATTTCCTCCCCTTCTACTCTTGCTTCCATTTCTTTTCTCCTTTGTAATGCACCTTTCTCTACTTTCTAATTTCTCTTTCTCCCTCCTTCTTCTACCTCTCATCCTTCCCCACCACTCTCATTGCTAGTAATGGCTACCTTTGATTCAGTTCTTATTTGCTGAACACTGTGTTAAGTGCTTTGTATGCTTCATTTCATAGCACTCTATGAGTTAATAGTATGTCCATTTTGCAGGTGAGGAAAGTGAAACACAGATTGAATCATTTATCTAAGCCCAGCAGATGGTAATAGAAATTTGTCAAACCTCAGTAAGTTAACTCCTGCATCTGTCTTTTCTTAACCCTTACATAGTCTTTTTCTCCATTTCCAACTCCCCCTTGTCCTTGCCTTTTCTTCTCTTCTTTTTATTCCTCCCCTTCTCTCCCTCCTTCTTTTTCTCAGACACTCACCATGGTTCAGTCACTGCACGTGTGTGGCTGACCCTGAAGGTGCTGAACACTGTATATGTGCCCAGAAGAGAGGACAGACAATTCAAACTCTTATCTAATCAGCCATTTTCCTTTTGAGCACACGCTCCACAATTTTCCACATTTGGAGGCTGAAAGAGGGGGCGCTTCGCCACCTAAGGAAATGGGGCAGATGTCTGATCACAAATGACAGGAAAGGCCTCAATACATGGATGGGTCTTTGATATAGAGAGTAGCAGAGATAAGACCCTTTCTGCTCACTCAGGAACTCCCTCATTCCCAGGGACTCTGTATACTCTCAAGGTGGGGAACCTGGGGTCTGAGAGAAGACAGGGCCAGGAGGTTGGTCCCTGTCAAGGCAACAATCAACTCAAGAGCTGAGGAAGCCTGGACTATAAAATGCACCACCCTGACCCCATCTTTCCCCACAAGGCTGAAGAATGTTCAGACAGAAACCAGGAGCACGTTGGCAGCAAAGATATGAAGGTCAATTTTGAATTTGACAAACCTCTAAAGTCCCACCCAAATCTGAGGTTTTATGATTCTAAGAAAGGAATATTTATGCTCCATTCCCTCCGAGATCTTTGTCATCCTGTTGGTTAGGAATGATTAGAGACTTACACTGTAAGAACATACATTATTCACTAAGTAAGAATTCTGGAGGTAGGGAGCCTCAAGAGTTGCTTCAGAGGCCTCAGGGCACTGGTTGACATTTCTGAGATTCTCTGGACAGCTTTAGACATCTTGGTTCATACAACTCTGTCCACAGGCAGGAAGCGGTGGGGGCAAGCGGAGCTCACTCCTATTCACTGGGGGATGGGAGCACTGTGAGTAGGCTCCCTCCTGTTCACCAGGGGATGGGAGCACTGTGAGTCAGGTTCCCTCTTGTCACAGGGGGATAGGAGCACTGTGAGTGAGGCTCTCTTCATTTACTGGGAGGTAGAAAAACCTTTTCTGGAGCATTCCCTCTACTTTAGATTCTCCCCATACCTCACCTACCAGAACTAACTGCAGAGGAGATTGAGAAAGCAATACCTGGCTTTTTCACCCTGCCAATGGGAGGCAGGCAAGAAACAGAGAATTGGTTTTCTATTGGGTAGGAAACAACAGTGCCTGTTAGCCCCTCCTTCCTTCACTCAACTAACATGTATTAAACACCTACTGTGGGCCAGGCTCTGGTGATACAGAAGAGAAGACAGTTCCCATTTTCAAACTGTCTCTACTGGGAGAACATAGACAGGCAGAGGATTACAACACAAGGCGGCAAGCACTGGGAGACAAGTAAGTGTCCTGGGGACCATCACAGGAGCTGAAGAGGCTCAGCTTCAGGGAAGAGGGAGGGTTGGAGGAGGCAATGACTGGGTTAAGTTTTGAAAGGTAAATAGGATTCAGCTAGGAGTGAGGGGACATGTAGAGGTACAGAAGGAGGACATTTGGAAAGACTTAGCATGGCTGGACAAAAGGAACTCATGTGGACAGGCAGGAAGAGGCTGGAAAAGCAGACAAGTGCCAGATGAGGGATGATTTTGTAAGGGACATAAAGTTTTGAGACATTTATTCTGGACATAAGGGTGGATAGATGTGTGTGTGAGAACCTTACTTAAGTGAGACACAGAAACTTAGCAGCAGGGCGAGCTGAGCTGTGTGGTTGGAATGGCTGTGTTGCACTGAGGCATGGGAGATCAACTTTGCCTTACCAGCCAGAGGAAGTGAGCACTTATCTGTGATACGGTTAGCTGGTGTGACCAAAGCACACTTTTTGTTTGCCACCTCCCAACACAGCTGGTCTATGCTGGATGGTTCTGATTTTTGCAGAGTGCTTCCTGAGGGGCCAAATTTGCCGACTGCATCCTCACTCTTTCCTCCTCCACCTAGTTCTGCCCTCTGGAGCCATAAAAATATTCCTTTTCCACCCAACAGCCATTTAAACATTTGGAACAGTTGTGGAATGATTTTCAGAATATCACATACCTCATATCACTTAATCCTCAGAATTCTCTGGTGTAGCTATTCCCATCCCCGTCCGATAAATGAAAAAACAGACTCAGTGAGGTAAATGCCCAGTCACATTTGCAGATCCCAATCCTGTGTTCTTTTTAATAATCGTGTTTCTCCAGGTGCGGTCCCTCGCTGCCTACATCAGAACCACTTGGGCCACTTGTTGTAAATCCAGATTCCTGGGGGCCATCCCAGACCTCCTGAAGTAGAATTACTGGGGCAAGAGCAGAATCCATATTGTAACACACCTCGATTTCTAGATCCGTTAAAATGTGGGAGCCATGCTCTAATTTTGCTAATATGGCTACTTTGAATCTTCTCTTTCTTTTTATTTTTGCTGGGAAATGAGAGAGAGCTTTTCTTTGGTTGCTTTGACTTCTAAGTTGCATTGTCTTAACGAACCCACTGGATGGATCAGTGGAATCCCAGAACATGATAGACCTTCCAGACCTTCACAGAACATCCTTCTCCTTTTCTCTCTTTCTCTCTCCCCCATTTGCAGAAGTTTTGCCATCTGTGACCTGGCTGTGCCAAGATGGGCGATTGGAGCTTCCTGGGAGAATTCCTGGAGGAAGTACACAAGCACTCGACCGTAGTAGGCAAAGTCTGGCTCACTGTCCTTTTCATATTCCGGATGCTCGTGCTGGGCACAGCTGCTGAGTCTTCCTGGGGGGATGAGCAGGCTGATTTCCGGTGTGATACGATTCAGCCTGGCTGCCAGAACGTCTGCTACGACCAAGCTTTCCCCATCTCCCACATTCGCTACTGGGTGCTGCAGATCATCTTCGTCTCCACGCCCTCTCTGGTGTACATGGGCCACGCCATGCACACTGTGCGCATGCAGGAGAAGCGCAAGCTACGGGAGGCCGAGAGGGCCAAAGGGGTCCAGCGCTCGGGCTCTTACGAGTACCCGGTGGCTGAGAAAGCAGAACTGTCCTGCTGGGAGGAAGGGAATGGAAGGATTGTCCTCCAGGGCTCTCTGCTCAACACCTATGTGTGCAGCATCCTGATCCGCACCACCATGGAGGTGGGCTTCATTGTGGGCCAGTACCTCATCTACGGAATCTTCCTGACCACCCTGCACGTCTGCCGCAGGAGTCCCTGTCCCCACCCGGTCAACTGTTACGTATCCCGGCCCACAGAGAAGAACGTCTTCATTGTCTTTATGCTGGCTGTGGCTGCACTGTCCCTCCTCCTTAGCCTAGCTGAGCTCTACCACCTGGGCTGGAAGAAGATCAGACAGCGATTTGTCAAGCCGCGGCAGCACGTGGCTAAGTGCCAGCTTTCTGGCCCCTCTGTGAGCATGGTCCAGAGTTGCACACCACCCCCCGACTTTAATCAGTGCCTGGAGAATGGCCCTGGGGGAAAATTCTTCAATCCCTTCAGCAATAATATGGCCTCCCGACAAAACACAGACAACCTGGCCACTGAGCAAGTGCGAGGTCAGGAGCAGACTCCTGGGGAAGGTTTCATCCAGGTTCGTTATGGCCAGAAGCCTGAGGTGCCCAATGGAGTCTCACCAGGTCACCGCCTTCCCCATGGCTATCATAGCGACAAGCGACGTCTTAGTAAGGCCAGCAGCAAGGCCAGGTCAGATGACCTATCAGTGTGACCCTCCTTTATGGGAGGACCAGGACCAGGTGGGAACAAAGGAGGCTGAGAGAGGAAAGATGTCTCTCTTCCGAACTGATGCTTTCTCACTGTCATCACTGCTTGGCTCCTTTGGACCCTGGGTCTCAATGACATTGCTCATTAATTCTAGAAACTGTAATCAGGGCTCTGGGATAGTAAGAGACATGACTATCCACCCAGACTGCAGTTCCCTCCCCACCCTCTACCCAGTATATGAAGCCTTTCAGGTTACTCATGAAACAGGGTAGAGGGAGGGAAGGGAAGCATGGCAAAAGCTGGCCTGGAAGGGATAGCCAGAGGGATAGAATGACTCTCTCTCTACATACCAGCAACATACCAGATGCATTCTTTAAGTTCCTACCTCCTTGACCTGATCACCCTCCCTCCTCCAAGGAAGAGCTCAAAGTTCCCAGCCAACAGAGAGCATGAATCAAGGAACTTGCATTATATGTGCTCCTTGAGTCTGTTATCTCCATGGACCATTCCTCAGAGTAGTGGTGAGATGGCTTTGGGTTACCTTTGGCTTCTCCTCCCTCTACTCAGTCTTAAAAAGGGTTTCTTGGAACTTTACCAGCAGCCTCAACTTTACAAATGCCTTGGTATATACCTTTGGCAAATGCCCCACCTTGGTGATGTTGCAGCCTTTCCTTCTGCCAGGGTGTACACCTAGCCTGTGAAGATGTCAGCTCTGCTAGGGAGTCACTGTACACACAAACTCCACTGGAATTCCTGCCAACATCTGTCATCCTGCAGCTCCTTTACAGTTCAATCCAATGATAGAAACCATCCCTTCCCTTTCTCCCTTGGCTGTTCACCCAGCCATTCCCTGAAGGCCTTATCGACAGGGATATCCAAGAAGCCATTGTCCTCTCTCGAACCCTGACCAGATCCCCAGCCACTGAGGCCAGTGGAATTTCCCCAGGCCTTGTTAAAACAAAGAAAGCATTGTACTTCTCAGATTCCCCTTGTGGAAAAAAAATTCTGCTGTGAAGATGAAAATAAAATAGGAGAGAAAACACTGGAAAACTATATTCCCCTCGTATTTACTTCCTTTGCTGACTGCCAACTTAGTGCCAAGAGAAGGTGTGATAACAGCTATGGAGGCCCCCAGATCTCCCACTCCTGGAGGCTTTAGCAGGGGCATGGAAATAGTAGGGGAATCTCCAGCTCTCTTGGCAAGGCCTTTATTTAAAGAGCACAGAGATTCCTATGTCTCCCTAGTGCCCCTAATGAGACTGCCAAGTGGGGGCTGTAGAAAAGCCTTGCCTTCTCCAGGGACTGGCCTTGTTTCTGTATTCACTGGATCCATAATGGGTTACTGTTGTTTTGGATGAAGGTAAAGGATGCTCAGAATTGTTGGATACTGAGACTTATAGAGAGATTATTGCATTATTAAAATGCACGTGTGTGTGTGTGTGTGTGTATGTGCTGATAGGATGGGTAAAGGCTAGGGGAGTCCTGAAATAAGGAAAGGAAACCACAGAGAAACTTGTGTCTTCCTGCTCTCCCCTCCGGCTGCCTCGCAGAGGGGCTAAGCCTCACTGTTTTGGTGTTATTAACCTAAACAGATAGACACGAGAGGTTGGGACAGAGGAGGCTAAAGACTCAGGAGGTTCAACCTCTGACTCACCTGCCCGTCTCTGGGCCCTCTGCTGATACTTGGATGCTATTGTTGGGTGGAAAGAAAAATGGGAGTGGGCAAGTGGAGGAAAGTGACTAGGATGCCATTTAGGAAGGAATGTCTAATCATCCCAGGTCCCTGGAGGGGACACCTTTTAATCTATTGCCTAGCATTAATATTTTCTCTCCTTCTATCTCTGAAATGTTTTATGAAATGAGCGTTCTTGAATTGGAAGTTCTGTGGGATCAATCTTTGATGGTGAGGGTTTTAGAAAGAAAAAATTAAGTAAAATGTGTAATTTGTCTAAATAAAATCTATCTCTACATCTGTCTCTCTTTTGTTGTCCACTTCATGCTGTGACTACAAGAGGATGGCAGACTTGGTGGGGAAGGGAGCGCTTGGACTGTACCCATCAGTAAGCCAGTAATGCACAGAGCTTTGAAGTCAGGCATGCAAGGGTTAAAATTCCAGTTGCTAACTTACATCTGGACTCCAGCAAGACAATCTCTGAGCCTTGGTGTCTTCATCTGTAAACTGGGCCCCGTTAATATCTACCTCATGGGCTGTTAACTGAGCTGTTAATTACCTCATAGGGCTGTTATCTGAGTTGACTGTAAAGAGTTCAGCAGAGTGCTTGGGAAATAACAGTCATTACATGGTAATTGTTGTTATTATCTGATTATTTTTGTTATTGTTTTGAATACACAGTATTTGGAAATGGGATGTTGAGGGATGATTCCAAAACTTCTCTTTATCAAGCCCACAATCTGCCTAATGTGATCAGATTAACTCACATTATTCTATTCTAACAATTAGAATAGAATTAAACAGGAATTAATGTATCATCAGTTCTAGGAACCATAGGCTCCAGGAGGTGATACATAAAAAACAAACAAAACAAAAAACTAACAAACTACACAGAAAAGAGGGGAGACCTGACCTGGACCTAAAAAATGAGAAGGCTTTAGAGAAGTATAGACCCCAAGGCTGAGTCTGTGAAAAAGGTCTTTGTATTACCATTTTACAGATACGTAAACTGACGCCCAGGAGAGTTCCCTGAGAGTGGGGCTGCTTCTCACTGGCTCCCTGATTGATATTTCATCTATTTGGAAGAAGAGAAATAACTGTTGCTGCAAACAAAGGGTCAAGGGACCGACCACCTAGCCTTTCACCAACAAATGGGTGTCATTTCTGAGAGAAGATTAGGAAAGACAGACAGAAGTGTAATCTTACCTACCAATCAGTCTTCTTTACCAGGGCAGGAAAGCTTTTTTAAAAGGGTCTTGCAAAGAGATCATAGAACGCATATTATGACACCAATATGGAGACTTAGGAGTACCCCTGGCCTCTGTCTGAGGATAAGGTGCTCCACCCAGAGATACCGCGGTAGTCCAACTAAAGAAAGCACCTGGAACCCATTTTTTTTCTCCTAGAAAAATAAAAATCAGTTTTAAAACATAGTCATTAACATTTAACAGTTCATTTTATGCCGGACTGCAAAAACTAAGGAACTTATAGTAAGATTTCAACCTCATGTATGTCTACTCTCATTTTCTTTCTTTCTCCCTCCCTTCTAAAGCTTCATCACTAAAGAGCATAATCTGGTTGGTAATAGAGTGAACACACTCCTAGTTGCAGGCCCCTTTAGGCCCATTTCCTTAAATTGCTTCCTCCAGTGCCAGATAAGAACAGAATGTCTACCAGAATGTTTCATTCCAATGGCTCAAGTGTTTAAGTGGTTAAATGCTAATAATACTCCTATGTAAAATCATAGTATGAATGGGTTTCAGATTTTTTCCTAATAGCAAATTGTGATACCAGAGAGAAAAACAGAAGAACAAGGACAGTAGGCATCTTGCAGGCATCTTGAAGGATTGCTGTCATGATGTGGAAATCAGGAAAACAGCGAGGCTGGAGGGAGCTGCCCACGTCCCAATCCTCAGGAAGTTCTGGAAGCCCCTGCAGTTGGTCCTTGATAATAAACAGATTTTTTTAAATCCTAGATTTTTAAGTAGAATATGATTAGGGATTTTTCCTTTCATTGGTCACTTGATGGTCATCAGAGATAGGTAGGATCTATAGTTTTTTATTGTTGTTTCAAGTGGAAAATATTGTCACTCAACAAAGAATTACTGACCAGCTATTTTCAGCTAGGCATTCTGTTAGGCTTTAGGAGTATAATTTTAGAAACCAGACATGGTTCCTGCTTTTTGGATCTTACAGTCTGGTGGGGAAGGCACTCTAACACAAATAAACAAATAAAATAATTTTGTGTGTGTGTGTGTGTGTGTGTGTGTGTGTGTGTGTGTGACAGGGCTCACTGTGTTGCCCAGGCTGGAGTGCAGTGGTGCGATCTTGGCTCACTGCAAACTCCGCCTCCTGGGTTCAAGCGATTCTTGTGCCTCAGCCTCCCAAGTAGCTGGGATTACAGGCATGCGCCACCATTTTTAGTAGAGATGGAGTTTTGCCATGTTGGCAAGGCCGGTCTCAAACTCCTGGCCTCAAGTGATATGCTCGCCTCAGCCTCCCAAAGTGCTAGGATTACAGGTGTGATTCACTACACCCAGGGATAAATAAAATAATTTAAATTGTGACAAGTGTCATGAAAGAAACAAGGGGTTAACAAAGGTGGGCTGAGAGATTCTAGTATTCAGATAGGGCAGCAGAAAGTCCTTTCTGAGGAGATAACATTGAAGCTGAGATGTGACAGTTTAGAAGCCAGGCACTGATGCGCAGGGGAAGAACCCAGGTGAGTAAATCTAAATTCCTTCCAGAAAATTCCAGAATACAGCTTTCCCTTATCTCACTTTGGTCCAACATTTTTGAAAGACAGAATTCAAGCAGCAACTAAAACAGCACAGTTTGGCACCAACTGTAGCAAAACACACATACCTCTTTCTACGAAAAATTCAAAAGACTGAAATCTTTTCACTCAAGGAAGCAAAAGGAGCATATGTAAAAGATCTGAATTAAAACAAGAAAATATATGTTAAGTTCTAAAAGCCCTATTTTTTTTTTCATGATCAGGAAGACTGTCAGAATCCACTAGTATCAATTCTGATAACACACTTTGGCCTATTCCATGGGGTACGACTGGAGAGGGGAGGCAGGGGTGCTCGGGTACAGAAGGGAGTCCAGTCCAGGCTTATTGGAAGAAGACTATATCCAAAGGCACTGGGAGAGAGTCAGCAGGGCATGGCCCAGAGTAGCCTTAGCATCAGGAAAGTCAAAGCAGCAAAACATCAAGTACACAGAGAGGTGGGGAATGCAGAGGGTGGAGGAGCACATAGCAGGGAAGCCAGGCCACGGAAGTTGTGTAAGACACCAGACAGGCAGGCAGGCACTGTTGGGGACATGTCTCAGCTGGCAGTAAGGCTCCAGACCCTGATCTGGATTTGGAGCTGGACTTCCAGACTCAGGGAAGGGAGTCTGACATGGGCAGAGTGGAGCTTCATCCTAGTAGCGGGGTTACTAAGCAAGGCACTAGGACAGCGTCTTGGATAGAGTACAAGCAGGCTCTTGTACTCTTGTGGGGCCCATTATCAGAATTACAGAGGTGTGGATGAATGAACTGAGTCAAGCTATGGGTGGCAATATATATGATGTTTATAGATACAGTACCTTCAAAGCCTTAAACCAAAGGAATGACAACTGTGAGACTTCTAAGCACCTCATCAAGCCAGCGGGTGGGGAGATGATTTGGGGGATGGAGGCTAATGCTTTTCTTTATCTATCACCACCTTCAGCTAAGGGTAGCACAGCCCCGGGAAGGCCATGGCTTGGAAACAAGACTCAAGCCCCGTCAGTCCCTTCAACTTGACTGAATTTTCCATTACCCGGATTCAAGGCCCTTATGGGACTGTGTGCATGTACTTGTGAACAAAGGGTTTCTCAGAGAAAGTGAGAACCATGCAGGATCCTTTCAGGAGTGTTCATTGCCCTGGGCTCTGCAGCCTGGCCAAGGCTAAATCCCCTCCAGCAGCAGCTGCTCTTCAGTCAACAGGGGGATTCAGGGAAGGGTAGAAAGTTATTTTATACCTTCCTGGGACTTGTCTTTCAATGTGATAAAATATAACCTGGAGGGGTTTACATTTACAAAGGTTTGAGGTAAAATTGCACATTTGAAACCATTATAAAAACTTGTGTAGGGTGTAGTTGACTGGGGAAAAGTCAATTTAAAAACCCTTGCATATTTTAATAGTAATAATGAAATACACCTTCAATTATTAAGTGCTTGCTGTTTTCTGGGCATTGTGCTAAGAGATTTTATGAATTGCTATTTCATCCTTACAGTAATCCTATGAGGTTATTTGACCCCATTTTACAGATAAGGAAACTGAGACTTAGATTCAGTAACTTGCACAGTGACTAGGCAGTAGGACTGGGATTCAAACCTGCCTTATACTTCTCTTAAGTGCTCATCATATATTCTTAAGTAAAAAGGCAAGACACAAAATTGTATGTGTAGCATGATTATGATGTGTAAAATTAGGCATTCATGCTTGGTGTGGTATCCCATTGCACATCTATAGTCCCAGTTATTTGGGAAGCTGAGGTGGGAGGATCACTTGAGCCCAGGAGTCCCAGGGCAGCCTGGACAACATAGCAAGACCCCTATCTCAAAAAAAAAAAAGGCATTTATAAGAGCAAAGACTTGAGGGAAACAAACAAAAATGAAAGCAATTTGGTGGATTGGTGGGGGTGCTTTAATTCTCTTAATTTTGTAAACTATTTTAATGTAAAGATGCTATTTTTGAAATTAACACACTTAAAATACACTTCTATTCAACTTTTGGGCTAAATTTGGTGTTCCCCTGGGGTGGCTGCCAGGAGCTGCCTTTCAGTTTCTGCAATCCTCATGCCTGGGAAAATTGTTTTGTTTGGGCTCAGACTGTCACCCTTAAATGGGATATGGTTAGCAGGAGGTGCCCATGCCAGGGTCCTGGCAGCCAACTGTGTGACAGCAGATGGCCCACCAGCTGCAGCCTCTGGGAATGGCGGAGCACTAGAGTGAATTGGGAGGTATGGTTTCCCCCATGAACTCTTCTTACACATCCCAGTGTGGTGAGCGCCCACTGCACACCACGTCAGGGCCACGGGCAGGCACCGTTTGGGAGGATATCAGTAAGAGAGAAGCCTGCCCTCAACCACTCAGGACCTTGTAGAGGAGGGGAACAATGCCATATTGCCAGGGAGCAGTGCTCAGTGTGGTAAGAGGAAAAAATGGCACTGAAGGTCTTCAGAGGAAGGGGAGAATCTGGGGAGGAGGAAGAGCTCAGGAAGAGCTTCACAGAGTTGGTGGCACTTGAAATTGCCTTTGAAAGAGGA